CTTTGGAAATATTTTGAACAATAACTGGACAAAGAGGATCATTGGTTATGGAAGCTGGGTATGCTCTCTCCCTTTTCTCCCACCTTATTGTTGACAAGCTTTGCCGCACCGTCTTTTTGCTGCTTGTTGTTTCCAATTACCTTCCCTTTTCTTCCCGCAGATTTGCAGGCTTCCTTTCAGGTGCGTCTGCCAGAAGCTGGTGCCTGCAGCCTTGCTGGTCGCTGCCTTTTGGTGGGCCGTGAACTACGGACTTCAGAATTAAGGGAGAGAATTACAATAGGAGGTCATTGCTGGACTCTGACCAATATCATTAACACCCAGGTGGTGGCAGTTGGTTTGTTTTTCAAATTTACACTGATAAAAATCTCTTTTATATTTAAAACCTAGGCTAGTGCTGGGTCACTGCTGTTTCATACCTTTTTTGAAAAAGAAAAATGTTTAAAATAAGGAGGTTGTTGCTGGATAACTGCCTGACTTGCTAGTTTTGAAATGTGACTCCAGGTGATTAGAAAGTCTGTCTTTTTTGTGTTTGTTTTAATGCAATATAAAGTGTCTATTTCATATAAACGAGTTTCTTAAAGAGATTCTAGATGCGGGGGAGACTGAAGGCATGCTGGACATCCTTTTAAATTTTAACACTGTAAAAGCAATAGTAAAGATTAAAACCATGATACTTTTTTTTTTTTAAATTAAACTGTTGCTTCAAGTGTTTCGCAGCCTTATCTACTTTATTTTCCAAGGTTGTGCTATCGCACATTAGTACCAACATCTTGTGCATTTGGTTATCCAAGACTACAGGGCAGGCTTCATTTGATTCTTATGTAGTAGAATTAGCATATGAAATGATAGTTTATTGGAAAAAGAGTTGTTTGGATGAGCTAGCAAGCAAGTTGTTTGGGTTGGTACTCAGGGCCACTCAAGCCAAGATACTACTTCTCCAGAATTTTTCAGAAACCTACTCATAGATTTTATATTCTTCTGCCTCTTTTCAGAGTAAAACTTTGAGTTGCCCAGAAAAAAAAACCAAGAATTTGATTGAATTTGGAAAACGGTTTTTTTGATGACACGTCTTTTTGGGAGGCATGCGCTTAGGGGGAAACATGACTAAGGGAAACCTGAGCTCGGCTTACAGGATGGAGGTGCTCAAAGTGCCACCCTCGTATGCCTCACGGGCAGCTCTTAGGACACAGCGGGGTTTCTTCTCTCTCGACATGCCCCAACCTTACCAAATAATACTCTACATCTGGGTGCATCTTCCCTACCCTTTGCCGTTGAAGCTGCTTTTCGCTGTATGCAGTTACAGACTCTCTCTCAGCGAGAGAAAATGAAAGTGCATCTCTGTGGTTTGGGTATTCCCCTCAGCAGAGGGGATACCTGCTTCCTGCCTAGTCAAGCGACTACTACGGTTAGCGTGCTTTGAAACAGGAAAATACAATATTTAATGGCCTAGTGATTTCAGCGCTCATCTGAGAGGTTGGAGTTTCAAGTTCCGAGTCCCTGCTTTAAACCAAACAAGGAACCTGAACCACTCTTTTCTTCAGCGGAGGCAAATGCCAAACCCAGTCAAGTTTAAGCGGGTTGAGGAATGTGTTTCCTCTCTTTTGTGAATGGTGCCCAAATCCCATTATGATCCTAACTGCCCATCTCAAAAAATTATTCGGGGGGAGGGGGGGAACACCAAAAAGCTTCAACTAGACTATTTCATTCAACCCTTTAATGTTAAAGGACTTTGACATATCTTTGATTGACTTGAAATGCAGAGCAAAACCAAGGTACCCAGAGAAGATACGTAGAGAGTGATGGCTCCAGCATCCCCCAAAAGTTCAAGCAGCAGCACGGATTCTAGTGTCACCTTTTTTCCAAATGCCCTCGAGCCAATTCGCCCTGCAGCGACCGGTATGTGAGTTTTCCCTAGAAAAGCACAATTAGCACATCTGGAACCATAGTCTCACTCAGGCCAAAAGCTGGCCAGCTGAATTGCCCACATAGGCAAAAAACAGAGCAAAGTTTCATCAGTGACTTGACTGCTCTGTTTTACTCCGTAACAGCAGGGTGACAGAAAATACATTCAAGTTGTTACTTAGTGAAGGGTAAAAAGTCCCATCAGGAGGCTAATAAACATGCTATGCATGCAATGCAGTAAAAGTACCAACTGCCAAAAACTCGGTTCTTCCAGGCCGGATCACTTTAACACCACAAAATAATTTCGGTTATTTCTAGATAAATAATCTTTATGCACAGGGGAGTGATGTAAAACAGGAGACTGACGCGCTGCCTGTTCCGCCCGGGAGCTGCGTGGGTGACTCTGCTTTTTCACGCTCTTGCAATCAGCAATGTCCCACCGTGACTCACAAGAGAGGGGAAGGTCAGCATCCAGCACTTAGGGGGCAAAAAACACAGTCTCAAGGAATCTAAAATGCAATCACACCAACAAAGCAAGCGAAACAAAGCCACCAGAATCCACAACACGAATTAGCACAAGCTGGAGTACCGCAGCCAGCAGTAATGACCAGGCTCCCCTCTCACCTGCGGAGCTGAGCAAAGAGCCTCTTGGTTAAGGCTCTGAACTGTGACTTGGGAGACTCAATTTTTTTTTTTTTTTTTTTTTTTTTAACTGCATGCTTCCTGGATCTTAGTGTCAGAGTTTACGGCACTTAATTTTTTTTTTTCCCCCCACATCCTGTTTCTGCTTGTTCCTAGGTGAAGGAACCGCACTGACTTTACACGTCTTAAATGCTCAGTTTCCAGAAGCAGAAGGGATAGATGAGTAAGCACATAAAAACAAACAGAGATAACAGTACTAAGATCCAGGAATCTTAATTACTCTGCATGCCGCTCCCCCCCAGCCTAGTTCTACAACACAAGACACCCTCCTGCTCGTTTGCAGCCATACACCAGCATGCCAGCCTGCGCTACCCAAAAGCAAGCCCTGAACGCTCTCGAGACAGAGGTAGGAAGACCTCCATCACGCTTTTTTAGCCGATATAAACTGCAGCATCAACACAAGGGTACGATACCGCTTGGCTTCTGGTTTTGAAGACACAAGGCTCACTGAGGAGCTGCGGAGCAGCCTCAGCGACGCGCAGCTTGCTACCTCGGCTTAGGCTCAGACGCCGCTCGGAAGAAAAACAAACACCCACATGGCGGCGACGGTTCCTCCTGGCTGCTAATTAAACGGGGCCCACGAGAGCGTGGTGCTCTTAGGATGCAGACATCCCTTCAGCACGCTGCATCTGATGAAGGCGCAAAGGTGCTCTAATATTCTGCATTTGCCAACAGAGATTTTCAGCATGTTTCTCCCAAAGAGCTTTTGTTCCAGGCAAAAGTGTGCAACAGTGAAATGAGGGGGGAAAAAAAAATATTTATGGTATAAAGAACATTACAAATAGAAAACAGGTTTCCAAAATTTCCACAAAAAAAGTTAAATAATTTTTAAAAAGTCCAGAAACTATAAAGCACTGTATAAAACTGAAATTAGTGCCACCAACATGCCACGCTTGGTTCCAACTACTATAAAAGCTGGTTTCAAAGTCACTGATGTTGCGTTTGGTCTTACAAGATGTAGTCAGAAACTCGTAACACAGCACAAAATTCAGCGCTTAACAATATGCATGGGATTTAGTTGAGATAATTCTAACCCTCCAGTGACGACTTTGGTATGCTTCACTGAATAATTAACACCTTACCTGTAACATAGGAGCCTTCACTGAAATGATTTTCTTTTACAGTAATCCCAACCCTTAACTGGCAGGCTCTAATAGTCCAGTGATTCAGCTGGCAAATTCTTCTGTATTTTAGTAATCGTTAATGTTTGCACATGCCAAAAGTGGAATCTGTACTGTAAAGGTAGGCTCAGCTGCCAATTTCAGTTCACAAAAGAGCTGTTTAGTAACACTCTCCACTAGGAAATCGTAACTGAGGCCAGTATTTTTAATTCACTTTCCCTTTCAGAAATACAAAAATTATGAAAGTATTAACACTGCGATTGGAAGTTAATTCTGCATTTCATAATACATTATTGAAGATGCGCGTGGTCATTTGATTCAGGTAATAAACCCTAAATTCTTCCTGGATACCTGTTACATGTACCGTTAAAATACCAAAAATAAGAAGGAAAAAAAGCTCGAGTCCAGGTGAAGCTTCTGATGACGCTACGATGCGCACCACGTTACCTTTCCCTGCTTGTTTGCGCGTGGTCCCCCAGCAAACACCGTTCTCCCATATTTCCCACAGCTTTCGGTACCCCTTACAGAGAAGGGGCAAACAAAGCCGGCGTACATTTTCCGCGCACCCTGCGGGTACCTTGCAGAGGCAGCACGATGTTGTAACGTGACCGGACCTATTTTGATAAGCCAAAGGTTGGTTACAGAATCCAAACCCACGGATTTGGCACTAAAGCCGTTCCCGGTGCCACCTCAAGCACTGCGGCACCGAGGGAGATGCTGGAGGCAGTGGGTGCTCCCCCCCAGGCACAGCCCACCCGGGGACCTGCCACCAGCCCTCACCCATCCAACAACGGTCGGTGCCAACAAGGGAAGTGGGAAGCTCTTTCCAGGAGGGCTTGGGACAACCTGCTCCTCCCCAGCTCATCTCCTGCTGCCAGAAAACGTACGAGCTGTCAAAACACAGCCAAGACTATGGCGCGAACTGAAATACCAGCATTCAAATCCTCCCCCCGGCACTCTGTTACCACGGGGTTCACCCTGTACAAAGGCACCCCCCAAAAATATCTTTCAGCAACGGTCCCAGCGCTGCTGTTTTCTGCTCCATCAAGAAAAGTCACCCAAAGGGCCAATTCAGCCTACGCGGCCTCAGAGGCTCAGTCAGGGACAACCACCTCTGAGGAGGGGGACTGTGTTAAGCTTCTTCCAGTGAAACATTTCGTGTGTAACTTAACACAACCAACATGGCCCTGGACAAACGGAGAGAAAATTACTTCCACCCGTGCATGGACCATAAGCCAGTAATGATGCACCCCACAGCGTTAAGAATACCCAAGAAAAGCTTTATCGTTTATTTATAGTTTAACCTTAAGAAAATCATGTTCCTAATAACATCTTCTGCCTTACCTGGCAATACGGACACAAAATAAAAAGAATTTTAGGCAGATGAATGTCCCGCAAGTCAGTCGAGTTAGGGTAACAGGAACATCAATGTACCGAAGGCCGCACCAACCGGGTGGCTCCTCGGAACGCGCCCTCAAGCCCAGCGCAGAGCCCTCCACAGCCCGGAGCCGATGGCCTGGCTCTACCCCCGTACCCACACAGAAGATCCCTGCACCAGACAGCCAAAGCTGCCGACTTGAACTTGAATCCGCACCCCCCAAAAAACTTCAAAAAAGGAAAAAAAAAAAAAAAAGAAAAAGGGAAGTTGCTTGCAGGACCGAGGCCAACGAGGCGACTATCTGGTGCGTTTATTGGCAGCTCTGCAGTCCCGACACAGACGGAAGAGCCAGACTTTGCTTCTGGGCGAGGAAAACGTTCACTGCGATTACACGCATGGTGCTCTTTTCGTCGTGAGGAGCCATGAATGTTTCAGACTTCCTCTTCCGGGAGCACAAAATTATTTTTAAATTGGGCAGAAAAAACCCCAAGTTGTGTGGATTTTTCTCAAAAGGCTGCTTAGGTCTCTGCTGCTTCCTCATCTTCCAGAGCATCTACATGCTTATATTGTTTCCAGGCCTTTAAATTACATCTTTTGAGAACGGCTCCTAGTTGCTTCCCGGGCCCCACTTCGTACGTGTAAGGAAATTCTGTTCCTTGCTTTCTTTCGTATACAGAATGCATGGTCTGTTCCCACAGAACGGGTGAAACCACCTGCTTCACCAGCAGCTTCTGGATGTGCTTGGAGTGCATGTACTTTTTGCCGTCAACATTGGAATAGACGCAGACCAGCGGTTTCTGAATCTCAATCGATTTTAGGACTTCAGCCAGTGGCTCTACTGCTGGTTCCATAAGCCTGGTATGAAAAGCCCCGCTGACTGGAAGCATTTTTGTACGCATAAAATAGTATTTTTTGGCATTCTCCTGCAAAAACTCCAAAGCCTAAAAAAGAGAGAGAGAGAGAGAGAAGTGAGTCTCAGACGACAAGGGTTTACTGAGTCACCCCTCAAGAACCACGTCACCAGACTTAGCGTGATAAAGGGATTCCTCTCCCTACCCAACGACTGAGCACACACATGCTGGAAAGAAAACCCCCCACAGATCAAATACTTTTTGTATGGACAAACTCAGGCGACGCAAAACTTCCACACAAAAGCGCAAAGTAAAAGTTCTAAAAACCGAGATGTTAAATTCAGCGAAAGGGACAGTTATTCTGAAGCAATACCTGTAAGTGTCCCGCAATGACTCTGCTGTCTGGAAACAAATAGTTTGAAATTTCACATACGGGGTTTTCTATGCCCAGCGATTCACAGTGTTTACGGGCTTCCAGGCAGGCAAATTTGTAATTTGCCTCTCGCCGACCGGTAACTGATAGCATTCCGCTGGGGACGGCTTCCGACGCCTTTTGCATGGCCTCGGCGCGCACCTTCACCGCATACAGCGCTAAGGAGAAAAACAGAGATGCTGGGTAAACGCAAGCCCCGAAGGAAACACCGCTAAAGGCGCCTTAGCCTCTGCGCGCAAGAAAGGGCGGCCGTTTACTCTCATGAAACGTCAATGCTTTTAATGCTCTGTTACACATATCAAAGCGAACAGTGGAAGTAGAACGTAAAATTTATCTTCTAATAAAGAAAAAAAAAAAAGAAAGCGGGAGGGAAGCAGTGGTAACAGGCGATGCTTTGGAAAAAGCAACGGCCGGGGGTGGGAGATCCTACTGGGGGTTCTGCACAACTCCCGGGCACCTTCGGCAAAGCCCAGGGCTCCAGCGAAG